CTACATATTGTTTCTTCTGTAGCTTTCTTCTCTCACTTTCATTATTCTATTTATTTATTGAAGAACCCGGACTATTTTTCTTAAAACATTTTCTAAAGATTAGATTTTGCTAATTGCATTCCTGTTTGTCTCTGTACTTCCCACAAAATGACAGACTAACCGATTAGGATTTTGTCAAAAATGAATATAGCTGACTTTTCTTTTTTTGCACCATATCTGAAGGCATCTAACAAGTGATTGCTTTTCTTTTTGAGACTGATCAATAGGTTCAGGTGTTGCCACCTCCACTCATTCATTAAAAAGTTTCCTGGCAGAGGTGGTGGCTCATGCCTGTAATGCCAGCACTTTGGGAGGCCAAGATGGGTGAATCACCTGAGGACAGGATTTTGAGACCAGCTGGCTAACATGGCGAAACTCTGTTTCTACTAAAACAGTACAAAAATTAGCTGGGCATGGTGGCACGCCCCTGTAGTCCCAGCTACTTGGGAGGCTGAGGCAGAGGTTGCAGTGAGCAGAGATTGTGCCATTGCACTGCAGCCTGGGTGACAGAGTGAGACTCCATCTCCAAAAAAAAAAGTTTCCCATCTGCTTTTCACTCACTAGTGTCAGCAGACATTGATATTACAAAGATTCAGTAATTACAGAGATCCAAAAATCTCTATTGTAAAGTGGTAGATTTCCAATTCAATTGTTTCTTGTACATCTATCAGCTGCGTGTTTTTCTATAGAGGCAGACACTTATTCATCTACTATTTGGTTAACTTGAGGTGCAGATTTTGTAATAAATGGAAGATAAATGCTTGCTTGTTCATTTTATTTACTAGGTTTTAGAATTATGAAGTGTCTCCATAGATGATCCACATTTGCACAATGAAAAATGAGTTCTTTTTAGCTGATTTTTAATATACACAATATATTGCATCACATTATTCTTATTATTCTTTTTGTTGCTCATGAAATAGAAGGACCTTACAATTTGGTTTTAGAGTTCTTTATACACACGTTAGTAGTCTTGAATACCTATCTCGCTTTCTTTTACAATAAGAAACCCTAGGATCTTTTAGCCTGTTTTTTCCTAGACCTGGAATCAGACATTTCTCCAAGAAACCTGGCTTGTTGTAGTGGGAAATGGAATTTAAAGGCTACAATCCATACTTTATTGAGTTAATCATTGACTAATGTGTTTTTAAATCAGAATGCCAGATCTCCATCGGTCAGGAAAATATTTTAAGGCTCATATAGGTTTTCTGTACTTGAGTTTTATATATGTCTCTTATAAATAGAATATATATTTTCGTTGTTGTTGATTTGTTTATTGTCTCTCAGTCTGATAATACCTTAATATCCTCAGGGGAAATGACAGTCCTACTAGTTGTCTTCTACCATGTTTGGATTTTATCATTTTATTGCTTTTTATTTGTTTTACTTTCTTACCTTCTACAGTTGTCTGTATAATGATATAGATACATTTTGCATTCTGTTTCTATTTATAATTGCTTTTCATGAATAATGTTTAACATGTATATTTGAAGTCCAAAGTTGGTCAACATCTCTACCTTTCTACTGAACAATAAAAGGACATTAAAAAAAAAAAAAAACAGTTCTCTCTCATTATCTCTCTCATTATCTATGCTATTTTCCCCCAAGCATTCCAGAATTTTAGTTCTTTTGGTATTTCTGTAACAACACAATTTGAATATTACTATTATAATTCATGCATGTATGTTTAGATTTACCAATGTTTACTAAATTTTGTGGACCATGCCCTCTTCCATCTCAGATCATTCTTTAAATTTTTGTTTTTTTACTTTCCTTGAATGGATTATTTAGGTTTTTTGTTAGGTAATGACTAGGTCCCTAATCATTTTTAAAGTGGAAGATAAAATTTTACCTCCAAGTTCTTGCTTGTGGTCATTTTCTCTATGACTGTGGGCAGGATCTATAAGACAGCCAAACAGAAACCTCTGAAGCTTGAGAGACTGCTTGCCCAGTGGGAAATAAGGTCATTTTTCCCTACCCTTTTCCCAGCCTCCCATTATAACCACCACCAGCCTAACCTCCAACTATGCTCTCGGGTTCTTTTTTAGTAAAAAGTGGAAGTTTAATCAAGATGGCCATATTATCCAATTCTATGTTACTGAAGACTTACTAAGGTATATTAAAGTATATATGCATGGCATTTAAGAAGTCAATTTAGAGATATTTCCCAGCAAAACATCATTTGAAGACAAAAAAGGACTTGTAACATAAATTGGAGAATATATATATATATTCTATTTAAAAGTAGATATTTGATTAAAGATAATGTGAGGCTTATTTTTCTCTTTGAACTCAGCAAACTGGTTTATTTCATTCTATTAATGTTTACTTTGACCTCTGGCTAAACAGACTTTGTGTCTTTTTTTTTTTAAGTGCTTTCCTCCTAATATGGCTATTCACTGGTTTTATATTTATATCTTATCTTTCCTTGGAGAGTAACGGTTAGTAGTCATAAAATATCTTAAGTCCAGTTTAGTCCGGAGGCATCCCAGAATCTTTCTAACATAAACTCATACCTCCTTTTTAACATCTCTGCTATCCTCTGATCACATCTCCCCACACAAAATATTTTTCTCCCTAAACAGACACTTACACACACAGCTACCATGTATAACATTCTAGAATAACCATACTCTCCTCTAGTTATGACAGTTGGAATATATCACATAAATGAATTTCTTCAATAATATTAAAATGTATTTATTCCCAAAACTTTCAATGTATTAATCTCTAATGGTAGGAATTAAAAAATAGAAGTACATATACAAAGGTAAACATACAAAAACTGTAAATTCCTAAGAATATGTTGGATCAATGTAGCAATTAGGATGTATATACTAATAATTAGAAAATAGCATGTATTCTGTTCTAAGACCCAACTGAGTGAAAAAATACTTAGATGCTAAAATACCAACCTTAATGGCTATTTATCTGCACCTGATGTATAAGCATTATTATATTTACATTCACTCAACAAACATATTGGCTCCTAAGTGTTATATTCTCTGTGCTACAATCACTTGCAAATCATAAGATACCTTACAGTTGGCAAAATATTTTAATATGGTTTGGCTCTGTGTCCCCACACAAATCTCACCTTAAATTGTAGTTCCCACAATCCCCATGTGTCATGGAAGGCACCTGGTAGGAGGTAATTGAATCGGGAGGGCAGTTACCCTCATGCAGTTCTCACGATAGTGAGTGAGTTCTCATGAGATCTGATGGTTTTACAAGGGGCTTTTCCCTCTTTTGCTTGGCACTTCTTTCTGCCATCATGTGAAGAAGGATGTGTTTGCTTCCCCATCCACCACAATTGAAAGTTTCCTGAGGCCTCAGCAACCATGTGGAACTGTGAGTCAATTGAACCTCTCTCCTTTGTAAATTGCCCAGTCTCAGGCAGTTCTTCATAGCAGCATGAGAATGGACTAATACATACTTCATTCAAAAATAAACTATTTTGGAAGAAAAATTATCCATGAGAAAGACAATATGATATAAATTACTAGTGAATTAATACAGTAAGGGATACAATGGCATCATAATTTCTAAGGGTGAAGGTCTATGACAATAGCCGTGGTTTTCCACAGTACCAAGGCTTGGGGCATGTGCACAAGTTAAAGATGATGTGTTTCTCCACATGGCAGTTGGCCTTTCTGCTAAGAAAAATTTCCCTTATGAAATTAACTATTAAACATTGGTTTCATTGACACTGTAACTCACTAAATTAAAATATCCCAAATAATTAACAAGATTAAAAACTTCAGAGATAATATCTACTGAAATGACATTAACAAAATATGTGTTGTCCACATGCAAAGTGCATTTAAGTTTTTCAGTTCTATAGATTGACTCTTATAACTCAAATATTAAAACCTTCTATAATTCAAAGAGATTTTAATATAGTATAAATACATCGAATACAATAGTATAAAAATATGCTTTTTTATAATCACTGTGAAAGACTTGGTAATGCAATGGCAAGAGAAGGTGCATACACTGATTTTATAATCAAATGACTATTTTCCTAAGACAATTGAAATTCTGAAATAATTATAAACCACCAGCAATGGCAGAAACCCTAATTTCTTCTATGAAAAATTAAATTCAAATTCAATATATTATAAAACACTTCTCTTGGTACGTTCTTCATCATTCATTAAAATACAGAGGACTATCACTATGATTTTAAAGTGTCTGATAAATCAGAACCATTAATCTAAATAAATAATTTATCATTAATTACAAAGGTAAAATTTGACAACTCACAGAAATGCTATTATACTCTAGGTGGCATCTTAAATAAGGGACCATATCTTTGATGGTGTTGAAAATCAGATCTAAAAATGCAGTGGGATGGGCTAAGAATGCTACACAAAAATAAAAAATAAACTGCTGGATATTGTGGTAGTATAGTATTTATTACTTATGCTTTCCTGAAATTTCTTGGTTTATAACTAATGACAAGGAGAAGAGAACATAGATTCATATTCATTATTGGGAAAGAAACAAGTATCCCTATTGTATGGAAACATGACTATATGGCTCCAAAAAATCGGTTATTTGGCCAATTTAGTTAACAACTAAATATTTCAATGAAAAAGGAATGATTATTTGTGAGAATATGGTATTAAATTGACTAAGAAATATATTTGGATGACGATTTTGGTCTTTGTATTTGTACTTGGATGGCTGTAGCACTAGGTCACTGGAGCTTCAGTGCCTGGTCTTTCTTCTTTAGCTCCTTTTGCCATACTGTAGCTTGGTACCAAGGGTTTCCTTTTTTTCTTTTGACCCTGGCAGACTTTTAGACTATTTTGAGTTATGTTTTGTTTGAGTTATACATTTTGTTTATCCGCTTGTAGCAGGAAAGAGATCTCTATTAGTATATTCTTCTATGGTGAAGAAACAGCACATCTTAACTCACTTTGTACTATTGTCAGCTTGTCTTAGCCTAGGTTCTGCCAAGAAAATAAAGGCGATCTATTTGAGGAAGTGATTCCAAGAAAAAGGAAGTGATCACAAGAAAAGGGAAGAGATCACAAGAAAAGGGAAGAGATCATAAGAAAGGTGAACAGTGAAACGAAAAGAGAAGAAAGTACAAGGGTGAGTAACTAAGTCACCCAGCCTTGTGGGCAGTTAGGACCTGACCCTGCTAGGAACCTTGTGAAGAGCCCTGTGAAGAGCTAGTCCCCCCTCAAAATTATCCACCCAAAAGGAGAAAGAGGAGAGACTTTAGATATCCACCTGTTCCTATACCATATTTGGCAAGGGTGGCTTCATGGGGTGTTCATCCCCTTGCACTTCTAAGCTTATGCCTGAGTCAGATTGAGCAGCTCCTTGCAGGCAATCCACACAGTGGCAGCAGAGAAGCCCTGAGTAGAAAGCAAGGATATCTGATGCAGCTGTGGTGATGTAATGGCAAGTCGCATCTGCTTGCAATAGCTGGTCTCAAGAATTGTGGTAACAAAGGGAGGCTAAGAGGATGGGAGGCATGGTGCAAAAGAGGTTTATGTATTACTTCTTGGAGGAAAAATATCTTACTGCAGTTTAATTTTCTTTGAAATGAGTGAAATCCTTTTTTGTTAAACTACATTTTGTTAAAGAACAGAAAAATCACAAAAACAGTGAATGCAGACATATTATCTTCCAACTTCTCTCACCTGATCAACTTTTCAAAGCAAAAACATAGGTATTTCTTTCACCAGTGAGACCCTTTGATTGCGTTTACTTCTTCGGAGCTCTTCCCTAACCATTATCTGCTCCAACGATTTTGCTTATCCAGTTATGCTTTTAATTGTAGACTGTATATTTTTTAAAACTATGCCTTTTCTCCAAGAATCCTCATTAAACACTATATTGACACTGTCAAATAATCTACCCTTATCCTTTATCATCAGTTTATATTTAACTATGTGTAGAAAATTATATATGTGATGCATGTGAATGTGTGTATTTTAGACTTCCTGTTAGCCATTTAATTGGCTACTGGAGGAAAAGATTAGCAGGTAAGTAAACTATTGCTTAAAAAATTCATGAATATAAAAATGCCCAGGTAAATTTTGAGGATCTGTAATTAAATTGGAGAAGACAAAGCAGCTCTGCTAGGTCTTACAAATTATATAGAATGAAGTCTATAGTGTTGATCACTCATGGATTTATCAAAACGAATTCAATTTAATTCTCAAATATCATTGCTGCAATGTTAAATTTACAACTAATGTATGAAGCAAGAACACCATTCATGCATTATGTCTAAGAGCTATTTATTCCTGAGTTAAATAAGCAAATATAAATTGATAAGTTATCATTTTCAAGAGAAAAGCCATTGGTCTTTGCTAAACTCCATTGTATGTACTTTTGCAAATAGCATTCTTTATAGTAAAAGCTAAAATTATGTTACTCTCTTTGAATCGTTTATTACAACAAAATTAAGCCAAGCAAAGTCTTTATTACATAGACATTTAAATCTCACAAAGATATGAAAAGTAATTTAATGAATTATTCACTTTCATTGTAGTGTGTTCTGATCACCTCCTATTCACTCCATTGTTAATGAGGGAATCCCCTGCACTAAATAGTACAAGATGGCCAAATGGATGACACCTATCATTGGCCCAATGAAACTGACAACAGTTTATTAGTCATATATATTCACAGACTAGGACATCCCATGCCATGCAAGGCTACATGGGGTTTTTACTTGGTAATAGAGTGAACACGGATATTGGAGACAGGCTTTATAGTAATAGGAGGGTGAGGTGTCTGCCTTCTGGTTCCTGCAGAAGAATGTGATTGGTTTGTTAGAGTAATTCCCCAGAATGGCAGTTAGGTTGAGAGCCAGGTGGAGTGCAACTGATCTGGCATAATAGAGGAACTAGCCAGGTAGGCGTGCTTTCTTTAAGAGAGTCAGGACATGTATCTGGCAAGAGCAGGGAAGCTTGTAAGATTTACGGGTCTTGTGAGTCCCAAAAACGTCAAAGCAGCACTTGAAATTTTAGACCTTACCATGCAATGTATTTAATATCATTCTAAAGGGATTGGCCTTTCAACATGGGGTCACTGAAACCAGATGTTTAAAAGATAGACTTACAATAGCCATATTTTTATTGACTACAATGATTCTTAATGGGAAATATTTAAGCTTGATATAATAGGTAGTTATAAAATGAAATTCAAATGTTAGCTGCTGTGGTACCAAGATACTAAAATATAGATTTATATTTGGATTTACAAACACAACAGCTACTACGGGGAACTTCAGCTGTTGATACAATAGTAAATCCTCTAATCATACTATACGGTATTTTCCTCAACTTTTGTTCACTCTAATAAAGCTATCTTGCTTTCTACCTGCCTACCTCCAGGAATCATGATATTAAAAAAAAAAAAGAAAGCAAAACGTAATGAAAAAAAGGTAATATGTATAATAGATGCAATTATTTATCTTTGCTAATTGTAATCACAAAAAGTCACTTGGAAAAATGAATTCAAAATTATATATAAGAAGAACCTTATCAAAATTATGTGAAATCTTAGTATCCAGAGAGAATAACATGCATATATTTAGCAGAACATTACATTTGTTCTAGTTTTTTGCTGTAATAAAAAATGAACACTTTAATATCCTTGTTGATATGTCCACATAAGTTAAAATATATATTACTGTTTTAAAACAAATAGATATGTTTAGCTGTGTATAGATGTATTAAAATGAGGGATTTTACTTAAATATAATAAAATAACATATCCCAACTTCTGTGATGTGTTCACATAAAAGTGGCCAAAGATAACATAGAACTAAGGTTAAACTCAAGTAACAGAATTAGTTCCACTAACTTTTGCTTTATTTTTCTGCTGAGATGATCTTTTAGAAAGATTCATGAAGCTTTACTAAAGCTCAGACTAGAAGCAGTGTGGAAGAGGTAAAGTTAAGTGAAACAGATTTATATGATGAAATCTGATTTATAGAGCTCATACCTGCCATCCAAGCAGAAAATGTAAATGCTCTATGTTGGAAATGGGAGAATATTTTAATTCCGAATTCCCTGAAGGCATTAATTTTTCACTTTTATTATTCTTTGGATTAACATTCAGATTTGAGTTGTTCCCATTTGCTTTGATATACTCAAAACATTGTCAAATAAATAAATGTATTACATATGGTGATATATTGTTGGTGATATATTATATATTTATTATACTTGTTTTCTAATCATCTTTCACAAGCTTTAGATTTTATCATATTCTCTATGTAGCAATAAAGCCATTTCCATTGCAAACTTATAACAATAATGGATAGCAACCTTCAGGGGATACATTTCTGAGAAATTTATTTCCCCTCATATTGCTTAGCCACCCAAGGAATGAATTTGTTTCCATGACAGATAAGGACTACGCCGATCATTTTTAAAATGGTCTTGGGGCACCACAAATCAATAACAGAAAAAGAAAATGCAAGATAATATTTCTTTTCATTAGGTTGATAGATGGCATTCCAGATTTATGCATCGAAATTGTCTCTTTAACAGTTATTAAATAACCCTAAGCATACATCTTGGTTATGTGGGTTCTGTTTTACATTGAGTAATCAAGGCCCAATTCTATTTGGTGACAATGTGGTTAATTTACAGAAACATAATAAGATTATATCAAATCTAAAAGACAGAAGATAATTACCACAAGGCATAATATTCTACACTGAAATCTAAAAGTCACATGATGATATAACTTTAAATTAATTTTTAGTAGAAGATACTTCTGCAACATCAATGCATTCCATAGGAATGTTTGTTGTTGTTTTGTTTTTTAAACTCTCACTTGAGCAATATGTACTAATAATGGTGATCTACAAAATTGTCATAGAAAGGGACATACATTCCATAGCCTATATTAAATTCAGATATGTTGAATTTCTTACAAAAATATTCCTTTAAAAGTGATTTGAGACAAACTGAAATGGTAACATTCTAAAAAGGTATTTTCCTATGATTGCTGTCGTTTTCCTCTGAGTGTTATAAATGCCTAAATCACATATTATAAATGGAAAAAATGTTTCCTTTAGAGAAATTCCCTAAACATTTCTTTAGAAAACTGATTTTAAGGTTTTACTTATATGAAAGTTGTTTGTATCCTTTTAGCATTCAGATATCAAACTGAAATATATTTTGAAGTGCTACTTTTGCAAAAATTACCAATTGCTTTGTTGAAAAGTGCAAAATTTATGCAATTAAGTGAAGAAAAAATTTCCCATTTGATGTAAAGCTCCATTTGATTGTCTGAATTCTTCATCCTTCATTAAGTACACATCATCTATATACCAGAGAATTGAAAATGTTTATTAATTCGAGTTCTATGGATAATTAATGAACATATTCCAGGATCCTCAATAGGTCAAGGGAAAAATAAATGAAGTGGATAGGTGAAAGTAAATATTGGCAGTTCCTTCCCTAACTGATCTTATCTTAGAATTTAAGGGGCCAGATGATTCCTTTAACAGATGGGGGACAAGCTTCTGAGATAACCCATGTCTCTTTAAATATTTACTTTTCTTCATCATCAGGTGTAACAAATCTAAGTGAATGACTTAAAAATTTCATTTAAGAATAAGTATATTATGCCTCACAAATTGTAGTTCAATCAAATATAAAGCATTGTATTTAGCCATTACACATCAATGAGAATGACTAAAATAAAAAGGTTGAAAACATCAAAAATCATCCATGGCTTTGTTGAGAAGTGCAAAATTTATGTAATTAAGTGAAGAAAAAAATTCCTATTTGATATAAAACTCCATTTGATTGCCTGAATTTTTCACCCTTCATTAGGTACACATCATATATATATACCAGAGTCTTGAAAATGTCTATTAATTTGAGTTCTATGGATAATTAAAGGATTGAAAAATGTACAGATTCAATCCATTCCTTATCAAAATCCAACTTTCATTTTTGCAAAGATGAAAAATATAATCCTAATATCCTTAAGGAATTGCAAAGGAACTCAGATACCCAAAAGAATCTTTAAAAACAAGAACAAGGCCGGGCGCGGTGGCTCAAGCCTGTAATCCCAGCACTTTGGGAGGCCGAGACGGGCGGATCACGAGG